GGAAGGAAGGAAGGAAGGAAGGAAGGAAGGAAGGAAGGAAGGAAGGAAGGAAGGAGAGTGAAGGGGCGAGCAGGGAAGGAAAAGGCTCTGCAAGGGGAGGCAGGTGCTGATCCTGCAGCTGCCAGCCAGAGCTGACCCTGCCACCCACTGGTCAAAAAAGATGGCCTGCCCAAGAATCCTCCTGCACGTTGTCTTCTGCCCCCCAAAGGGACTGGAATTCTCTAATGAAGAAACGTGAAGATCCTCAGAGGGCAACAATTACCAGAAGAGGCTTGCCGGTTCCACCTGGTCCAGTGTCCTGCAGGCCCACCAAACAGGGCAGGGCGCCCGTCGCTATCTCCGGATGCTGCTTCCCAGCACTGGCATTGAGGGACCGACAGCATGACCACCCACCCTCAGCGGTCCAGCCCCCCACCCCACAGACGCTGCCTGCTGCCCTCCCAGGCCACGGAGTGGCTCTCCCACCCAGCGCCCTCAGCCGGCCGCTCCAGAGGCAGCGCCACCTCGTCTCTGCAAGAACTGGCACAGTGAGCCAGGCCAAAGCTCGGGCAGGTGTGCCAGGGAAGCAACTGAAGAAGTACTAGTATAGATTTCATTTCTATACTGCCCGTAGCCAAAGTTCTCTGGGCGGTTTACAACAACAACAGCAACAACAACGATAATAATAAGTAACACGCCCATTCCAGGCCCACCAAGGATTGCAGCGCACAGCCTCTGGCAGAGGGGACTGTTGATCCGCGGTGCAAGGCAAGGTCACTCCTTGGCAGGTCAGCCCGATTTCCCCAGGCTGCACGCCTCATTCTGCATCTTCAGCAACAGACTGCCTTCTTGGCCCTGGCACCGTACCCAGCCATGTCCCTTCCTGGGACGGGCCCTGCAGCCCCCCCCCCCTCTCCAGGCCCCCCCTCTGGCCCGGCCCAAGGCCCCACTTGCGCCTTACCTGTGGGAGCGAGGGGATGGGCGGTGGTCACCGGGCGAGGCTCAGGGAAGATAATGCCGCTGCCGTTCTCTCCACTGCCATTCCCATCTGCAAGGGAAACCGACAGGGGCCGTGAGCATCCGCCGCGGCCCAAGGCCTCACCTGCAATGTCCCCTGTGAGCAGCTCCCGAGGAGCAACAGAGATGGCTCACTTTGGAGCCTCCACAGGACACACCCGGGAGACCCGGCGGACGTGCAGGGAAGCCAGGGACCCCAGACGGCTTCCTGGGCAAGGGGGTACCCCCGGCCTGTGGAGGAGCAGAGAGTCTCCCGCAACACCCAGAGACAGGGCGGAGAGACGCCTGGGAAAGAGGTGTCCAGCCCAGCCCGCCCCATACCTCCAGAGGCCTCGTCTGCCAGCAGGTCCTCGTCATCTGAGAGATCAGTGTAGCCCCTCCAGTGCCGGCTCAGGGCCTCCGATTCTGTGTCTTCTGGGAACGAGGCCTCTTCCCGGCCTTTGGAGGCGTGGGCCACCTGCAGCAAAAGGCAAGAGGGAAGGCCGCTGGGAGCAGGATCCCTCCAGGGGGGTGCCTCCCGCCTCCCCTCGTCACAGGCGCACACCTTTTGCCAGAATGTCCCCAGCCCCTCCGGGACATGCTCCGTGGTCCTCCCCCCCAAGTCCTCCAGCCCCTATACCACACTCCCTTCAGGTCCCAGCCCCAGAGCTGGTGGCCTGAGACAAGCTGCCTGCCACGCTCCTCCTCCTTCAGTGAGATGGGGGGGGAGGAAGGGGGAGGAGAGCGGGTGGCTCAAAGCTCCCGGCGCAGAATTCCAGTTACGGTGTAGTGGCTGGTAGGGGCCACCCAGCAGGGCCACTCAGGGGGAATATGCACAGTCTCAAGTCCTTAACAGCAGCACAAAAGACGCAAGGAAGCCACAATCTGGTGGACATCAGAGCGTTCATTGCAAACTGCACAGAAGGCTCTTCAAGTGAAGCCGCCGCGCCAAGGACCCTCTCAGGCCGCCCTGGGGCCAGGAAGAACAAACTCAGGAACTGCCAGAGCAAAGGTCACTTATGTGCTGGTTCCAACAAACTGAGGACACAGCTTGCCAGTGACATTTTCTGAATCTAAGATGACAAGACACGAGCGACACCCTCCTTTCTAAAGGCAGGCGTGGGACGAGAGAGGCGGAGGAGCGAGCCCAGATCCTCTCCCCAGAGGACTCCGTGCAAAGCAGCCACCGACATTTCGGAGGGTACAAGAGGCCAGCCGATTTCCCACCCAACCAAGTGCTAATGGAGTTGCTCTCCCAGCTGGAGTTTGGGGCCTGGTTTGACAGGTCACTGCAGTGGGCAGAGGCTCTTTTAGGGAGGGCATGTCCCATTTAACAAACGCCGAAAGAACGGCGAAACAGAACTCCCAACACTGCCAATTATACATCCAGTGAAATACTTGGAACAGGAAGCCTGTACTTTCCTTCTACTGAATCAGACCGATCGGACTGAAGGACACCAGGGTGTAATTCCGCAGCGCATTTCCTCACCGTCAGCTTCCTTTCTTAGGACACGCTCCTGTGGCTATTGTAACTAGCCGGAGGAGACCTGGGTATCCCCTGGTAAGAGCTGGAGAAAAGGGCGAGTGAAGCGCTTCGGGGCTGAATTCTAGAAGCAGGAGTATGCAAAAAGGACTGCATGCATAAACCGGTCAGGGAATGTTGTTGTCGCTGGCACAGAATTCAAGGAATTTTAGGGTAGAGAAAACACAGTGCCGGTGGCAGGGGGCAGAGCAAGGGCCATCTGGAGAAGGCCACGCACCAAATGGGGTGGCGACACCCCAGCGAAGCCAGGGTCACGCTCAGGAGGCCGCCTCAGCCAGCGGCTCCCAGCTCCGCTTCAGCCCCACTTGGCCTCAGAATCCAGCCCCCTGGCCAGGGAAGCCAAAGGATGAGCCCCTCAGCGGGCCGTGGGTCCCCCGACAACCAATGGCGTGCATGAACGTGCACGGGGCGATTACACAAGGATGTGTTGTGCATCTGCAGCGCAGCTAAGGGAGGTGACCCAGTTCACGTCGAGCACACGCCAGGCTTGGCCCACCAATGAGCCTTTCCGCAGCCAGTCCGCGGGAGGGCCTTGCGGCCAACTGGCTACGGTCCACTGCACACAGGAGAGCCCCCATCTCCGGTCACAGCCGCCCCCCCCCACTCGCAGCTGCAGAAACCTCCTGGCAAACACCTCACAGACATTGCTGAGAAGCAGAGTCACTTTCTGAGCCGGAGGAGGAGGAGGAGGAGGCAGTGAGCTCATCCCCAGTCAGCCAGCCTCCCACGGCAGAGACCTGCGATCTGCTCGGAGAAGCCCCGTGGCAGGAAAGTGCTCACTAACCCTCCGGCCAGGAAGGAAGGAAGGAAAGGCCGGGCTTGCTCCCCAGCGTCCTCCGGGGCCAGGCCAGGAGTTTGCCACTGGCCACGGGCTCTGCAGAGACGGGGCTTCCTCCCACAGAATTCCAGGGGCTGGAGGGGGAGGGCTGATCAGCCCAGGGAGAGAGAACTGAGAAGCCAGCCAAGGGGGCTGCCAGGAGAGAGGGGAGTCCCGAGGACCAGAGGACCCTGACGGACTGGGCGGCCGGTGCTCCAAGGCAGGGCCTGGGTCTCCACTCCAGCCGATCCCCACTCTCAGGCCCTCCTGAATAGCTCACGGACCATTTTTTATTTGGCTCACTTGATGGACAGAGAACGGGCGACCATTCACTGGGGCCTCCTCATTTTCAGCCTGGGCTGTGGAGGGAGCCCCTGCCCTTCATGCCGCACCTCACCTCACTTCAGGTGTGCTGGGAGGACAGGGCACCTGAGCTTGCTACAAGCCCTCGGGCTGGGGGGTGGGTGGGGGTCTGGCCAAGCGGAACAGCCCACCAGGCCCATGTCCGGGTGAATTGGCTCTGGGCTGCTGCCACCCCAGCAGACTCCGTGGACAGGCCTACCGAAGCCCAGAGCCTGTCCTCTCGCCATCTGCAGAAACCAGGGAAGCCTCCCTCAATGGCTCTGCACTCTAGAATGCCAAATGCCACTGGCTAATGTCCAGTGCCAGGGGATCATCGACTCCCCCAGCCAGAAGGCCTGAACAGCTGGCGGGAAGGAGAGGCCTCCTCGCGGCTTCTACTGGCTGCACCGCTGGACTGCAGCGGGCCCCTCCCCAAGTCACGCAGGGCCCCAGACGACCCTCCATCTGACCAGCCGGAGGAGGAAGAAATGCGACCCAGGCCCTGCTGCAGGGGAGGGAGCGGGGAAGGCAGGCTGGGCACGACTTCCAACCAGTGGGGGAGGTTCCCAGGCTGGGCCTGCGGCAGGTTCCGCCTCCCTGGGGCTGGACACCAAGCAGGCCCCTCTTGCCGGGACTGAAGCCAGGCGTCCATCCCCAGGCCAGGCTGAGGCTCCGGTGGCAGAACCGCTCCCCCACGCAGGGCGCCAGGGAACACGTGGGGGGCCTGCGGACGAGACGCTTCCTTGGCCAGAGACCCTGCAGGCTCTTTGTCTCCCACCTCCCCAGAAGCTTCTTCCACCCCCTGGACTCAGCCCTGATCTGGGGGGGGGGGAGTGCTGCTGCCACTGCTCTGTCAGAGGCCTCCCCACAGCCTCCACCTCCGAGGCCTTTGGCTCTGCCCGACACCAGCCCAGCCGCAAGGAACCTCCTCATCCTTAGGGTCTTGCTCTAGGCTCAGCTACAGAACATCCCAATAATGAGATCAGATCGAGTCTGTCTCTGAGCACATGCAGAATGCTTTTTCTTTCACCTCCAAGTAATCACAGCCCTTACAAGCCAGAGACTACCTGCAAGCCCTTCCAGGCGGGCTGGAGCCCCAAAACCTGTCTGCCAGCAAAGTACGGTGAGCGCATTTGCTTCTGCTAACTGCTGAGGGGGCTGGGGTCTCCTCCTTCCAGGGGGCCTGCGCTTGGGGTGGGGTGACAGACTGCCTGTGCGTGCAGTCGTTCCCAGGGCTCCGTTCCTGCCACCTCTCCGGAAGACCCACTCCTCGCCAGAGAAGGAACACCCCGGGGGGCTTTGCAAGCAGAAGGCCTGCAGGCCTTAGGGGAGCGGTTGTGGGGAAAGGCTTGGGGGGGGGAGCTGCTGCCAGTCGGAGCAGACAACACGGAGCTCCACCCCGATGGCAGCTGGGCGCAGTTGATGTCGGGACCTTCCATGAAGGGACGAGTGTCTCTCCAGGAAGGGGGGTGGGTCGCTGGCCTTGGGGCAGACCTTTCTCTGCCCGAGACCCTGGTGGGCTGCCAGGTGGCCCAGTGGTCTGGCTGGACCCGCCTCCATCCGGGCGGGGCCACAGCCCACCTCCTCCCAGCTCGCCCGTGCGCCCCAGCAGTGTCCTCCTCCCTGCTCAGGTGGAAGCAGCGCCCCCCCCGCCCCCAGTTGGCAGCAGAGCGGCCTAATGCAACAGACCCCGGCAGGCAGACGGAGCAGAGCAGGAATTCGACACGGCAGCACTTTCCTGAGCAAACACCGCGGGCCGCATTATTGCAGGCTGGTCAGTCCCGGGACAAAGGGCCAGGCTGGAGACATGAAAGGGGATTTAATCACGCGGGGGGGGGGGGGCCTGAAAGGGCGGGAAAAGGCAGAGGGGAAACAGGAGCTGGCGAGCCATGCTGACTACAAATGCCAGCGGGGCACCGTGCCAGCCAGCCCCCCCCTGTCCGCCCCTGCCAGAGGGGAAACGGGAGCGGGGGAGCCATGCTGACTACAAATGCCAGCGGGGCACCGTGCCAGCCAGCCCCCCCCTGTCCGCCCCTGCCCACCAGGCCCCTGCAGGGGGGAGTCCGTCCCTGCCAGGTCTCATGGTCGGTGCCAGCCGGAGATGCATCCAAGCCAGGCAGCGACCATCTTTGGTGCCAGCCAGAGGAGTCCTGGCACAAGGCCTGCCACCCACTGCGGTGCGAGAACCAGCAAGGCACTGAGGGCAGCCGGTGACCCTGCGTGGGAGGAGAAATGGAGGCAGGGCGGGGCAGGGAGGGAGGGGGCGGGCTCTCTGGAGTCCCCAGAGGGATGGTGCCCACCGGGGCAGGGATCAGTGCCTTGCAGGAAGGGAGCCCGCCTGGCGACAGGAGCCCCCACCCCAGCCGGCCAGGAATGGGAAGGGACTCCTGCCACCTGCTCCCAGGAGCTGGCCACTGACTGGAAGGTTCTCCTGCTGGCTGCCCAGGGAAAGAATGCACCCACACCCCTCCCCCTCATCGCAGCTCTCCGGGCACCAGCCCCCTCCAAGGCTCCCTCTAAGCTGTGGAGTCTGGTGAGCGAAAATCCCACTTTGCGAGCTCCTGGCATTAAAGTTGTGACTGAGCGAGCGATTAGTTTGCTCTGGAGCCCTCCTTCCTGAGCTAAGGCAAAAATGTGTGAGCCGGAGGCTAAAGAAACTGTGAGCTGGCTCACACTCACTCAGCTTAGAGGGAGCACTGCTTAAGACCCCTCCCGTTTAAGCCAGTCGTGCTCCGTCTCTGCCATGAGCTGAACACGTGGATAGCCCCAAACCCTGCACAGCGGGAGAGCGTGCCGGAGGGAGGCCGGAGCCCAGTGGCCCCACAAGGACTGCCCCCATCCCACCACAAGGAGAGGGATCCAGCCGGCTGTGGGTCGCCACAAGGCCTCCCACGCATGGGAAGAGCAACGCTCCGGCTGTGGTTTTTTTTGGAAAGAGGACCCCGCCTCCACCCCCCCACACACACACACAGCCCCCTTGCACCTGTCGCCTCAGAAGAGGGGGGTGGGCAGGGAAGAGAACAGGGGCTATTTGAGACAAAGAATGAGATCATGCAGCCAAAGAGCAACCGGAGAAAATAGTCCGGGGAGGGAGTGGCCGGCCGGCCGGCAGGCTTGCCAGGAACCTTCCCAGGGAACCGGCCTCCTCAGACCACCGGGGCTCTCTCTCGACCATCGTCTCCATGGCACAGGCTGCATTTTGCCTCCCCAGAGGGTCGCCGACCTCTCACGACCACCTCACGCAGAGCAAAGCTTGCCGTCAGTGCACGGGGGGGGGACGTGTTGCATTGGCTGGGCAGACGGGTCGGTAGCGTTGACTCCAAAGGGGGTGCAACATCTAGCAGTCAAGGAGGTGGGGGGGCTGCATTCTTGGTATGTGTGTGGGAGGGGAGCAGCCATGCAGCTGCTTTGGCATAAACTGTGCTTCCCGTCCAAGTGCAATGGCGACACAACCAGCTCCTGACTCTGGCTTCCCTCTTCAGGCCCTCCTTGCAACCTGAGAGCCGCTTCCTGGACTAGATACGCCCCTTCCCAGCCCTGTCTAGGCAATGCAATAAGGCTGCAGGTTTTGCTCTCCTACCTACCAAGCAGTACAGACAGCAGAGAGATGCCACAGGGGGGGGGGGGCGGGGGTGCTCCTGGTCAGGCCCTGCAAGTGGACGGGGCCCCCCTTCAGCTCTCATGTTTGCATCACGCTCATTTTTAAATTTCTTTCCAAGAAAAAGGAAAGGGGGAAACTTTCCTTTTAATTCCATTTAGCTGCACCACACTCCTCAGAGGAGTGGGTCTGGGGATCCTGGGAGAAGTCACCCATCCGCCAGGAAAATCTTTATAGTGACATTTTTGTCCCATCATCCCTTCAAGGGAAAGGCACTCTGTCCATGCTCAGTGGAATCCTTTCCTTTGTTCTTACTTTGTATGCTCCTGGTCCAGGGCGGAGGCCTGGACGCATCTGAACCCATCACACTGGCCACAGTGTTCGGGTGCAGAAGGCAAATCCAGTTTCTAGATTTGACTTCCACTCCCCAAAGGCTACCTTGGGGGCATCCACAGTTGTGGGGGGGGGGAGCACCATGTCCTCATCTTCTGGCTGAGGCAAAAGGCTCCTTTTGACAAAGCAGAAGGAGCCAGTGGAGAACAAGACTTTGCTCGCTCCCACGCAGGGTGACCCCTGAGACTCTAAATGCCGATGGGGGGGGGGCAGCGGCTGTCTCTTGCCTGGTCCCTGCAGCTCCCCGCACAGGGATTTCCAGCACCCAGGCCATAAATCATCCTCAAAGAGGAGGAAAACGGGCAGCTCTGGGCCGCCGCAAGGGAGGCAGGTAAATTGCTGTCTTAAATGTTGGAAATTCCTGCCCTGAGGTGCCAAGGAAAGAATGCCAAGTTGGAGCCCAGGAAGCCGCCTCGCTTGGCACCAGCTACAAAGGAAGGAGCGGGTGAAGGAGGCCGCTTTCCCTGGCAGAGGCAGCAGTCGGTTGGGTGGGAGAGCAGGTCAGGCAGGATCCTGCGCTGGGGCTCCCCGGCTGCACCCCACCCCCTCTCCCTCGCCTGGTGCAGCAGCAGCAGCAGCCGGCTTCCTCTCTCCTTCCCTGCAGCCAGGAAACATTTACTTCACTCCTGATTTCTGGCCTGTGTTTAACATGTGGTGCATCCGGGAAGGGAATCACCTCGGATAGCCGGCCTGGAGCACAACTTGGGGATCCGGGTCAGAGTCGGAAGCGTCTTCTGCTGTCGTGGGAACCAGCTCTCCCCCCCCCCCCCCCCAGCCAGAAAAGGCAAAGCAGGCACCACTAGGAAGCCAGTACAAAACCCCTCCGCTGAGGGGCCACCAACTTTTATCTCGGGATCTCTGAGCCATCTGTGCCAGACCTGGCATCTTACAACTTCCTCCCAAAGAGCCTCTCACGGAGCAGAGCTTGGTCTCTTTCTTAAAAACCTACCATTGAGACAGAAATTTTGCCACGGGGCATAAACGCACCGCCCAAAGGCTACAGCCAGAGTTCCCAGCAGGAGAGGGTCCTGCATGGAGCCAGGACAACACACAGCCCCGTGCAGCCCACCCTGCCACACGGTTTTGTCAGCCCGTGTCCTGCCACCCCAATGAAAATGTGCGCTTCCCGTGCCTCCCATCTTGGAAAAAGCAAGGTTTTACTCCAAGCGGGAAACCAGCAGCCCCTCAGAACAAGGGCCACCACTTCCACCTGTTACATTTTGGCTATTTTACCCCACCATGGCTCTGAACCACGTCCTCAAAGGGTAGTCTGGAGGGCAGCGCTGCACAAGAGGAAATCCCTCAGTGACAACTCCTGTGGGTTCAGGTCCTGCTTCACAGGAGCCCCTTAAAGCATCTCCTCCTCCAGAAGCCAAAGCCGGAACAAAGTCTGCTGCCTCACCCGCCTGCAGATATTCGCCCAGGTGGTTCCCTCCTGAAGGCAGGTCCGTACCCCCCCCTCCCCGGGGCCCATTCCTGGTCCGATTCACACTTCCCAGCTGGGACACACAAGAGTCGTTTGTGACACTAACTCAGTTTTTCACCCACAGGCTATTTTATACAAACTGAAAGGGGGGGGGGGATGTGCACCTCTCGAGTAGGAGCCCTTCCAACACCGCTCGCCCGCCATCTTGTTTTAGACAACAAACCTCCTTAAGTCCTGAGGATAACCAAGGCCCGGGAGCGAGCCGCGCTGAGCGGACCCCGCTACACTGACAGTGCCACAGGGACCGCTTGGCTCCGCTCACTCCTGGCTACTAGTGAGCCCCACCACACCAGTTTCTCTCCCATAAGGGAAAGAGGCAGTCATCTCCGGAGGGTCAGCCCAGCTATAAACAGCACAGCCCTGGGCCTTTGGGCCCCTTAGAAGGAAGCTCTCCAGCCCTCAAGGTGCAGAACAAAGGCCCGTTTCCTGCTTTTGAAGTCCTTTTTTTCTGCTTAAGCTTCACCGTCCTGCCGGCTCACTTGCAGGCTTCCTGCCCTTCTGGGGACAGACGTGTTCCCTGCTACTTGACTCTCCTCCAGAAAACATTGTGGACAACCACTTAAGGTTGCTGAGTGACAACAATGTGCTTCCTTCGGCAACACTTACACCGATCCCACACAGGAAGGCGAGGAAATGAATGGCTGGCGGCACCATCCATCTTCCTTGGGCCCCAGAGTCAACACTAGACTTTAATCGGAAAGAAAGAAAGAAAGAAAGAAAGAAAGAAAGAAAGAAAGAAAGAAAGAAAGAAAGAAGAGGGTGGGTGGGGGAGTCCACAGGAAAACAGTGCCCCTTGCTCCAGAAAGGAAGGGGATGGGGGCCAGCTGGGACCTTGGCCAGGAAGCTTTAGTGGTTGCAAAAACCAGGCTGCGCTCGGCTAGTGGGCACCCGAGTCCTTTGCTCCCACTGGGGCACCTTCATCCGGCTCCCCGAGGGATCCCACCCAGCCCCTGCATCAAAAGAAACTCCACAGAAGGGGGTGAAAGGGATCTCCCAGACTTTGGGGCCTGAATACTTGCACAGCCTCCATCTCAAGGCCCAGGCTCCTTCCAAAACCACCTCCCCAACCCCAGTGCGCCAAAGCAAGCTATAAGCAGCCTCCGCCACGTGAGAAGGAGCAAGTCCTGTTCCCCGCAATAACACAGAATTCCAACTTGGTTTCTTTCATTTCGAGATCACCATCACATGAACAACAGGATGGACAAAGGAAAGGAAATCAGATTTCTGAATTACAGGGCAGAGAACTGAAAAGAACACTGGGCTTCAGGAGAGAGAACCGGCCCGGACGTTGCCTAGCGTCCAGTGTTCCCTCTGAGCTGAGTGAGTGTGAGCTAGCTCACAGTGTGTTAGCCTTCACCTCACACACTTTTGTCTCGGCTCAGGAAGGAGGGCTCCAGAGCAAACTCATTTATGCAGCAGCCAAATGGCTCGCTCACAACTTTAATGCCAGGAGCTCACAAAGGAGAATTTTTGCTCACAAGACTCCACAGCTTAGAGGGAGCCTTGCTAGCGCCCTGGCTGGATTGGATCCTCTCAAGCCAAGTTCACATGTGCTGCTTACAGATCTTTCCAGTCTTCCCACTGTCACAGGGGTGCTCACTGCTGGCTTTCTGAACTGACTGGTGGCCACGCAAGAAGACTGATTTGCAGCCGTGTGCTGTACTTTATGGAGCATGTGCAGTTTGGGCCTTGATTCCGCACACAGTCTGGGCATCAAAAGGGCTCTCTACTGGGATTTTAAAAATGTGCTTAAGTGGGTGCTGGGAGAGAATGCCTTCCATGCCAGGGCTTTAAAAATGTCTTGTCTCTCCCCCCCCCACCCCGATCCTGGCCTCTCCACTTCTACAATGTACTAACGACGCCCCAACTTTCTGTAAAAAGGTAAAGGTAAAGGTTCCCTTGCTCGAAAGCCAGTCGAATCCGACTCTAGGGTTGCGGTGCTCATCTCCGTTTCAAAGCCGAAGAGCCAGCGCTGTCTGAAGACGTTTCCGTGGTCATGTGGCCGGCATGACTAAACACCAAGGTGCACGGAACGCTGTCACCTTCCCACCGAAGTGGTACCTATTTATCTACTTGCAATTTCTTGCTTTCGAACTGCTAGGTTGGCAGGAACTGGAACTAGAGACAGGAGCTCACCCTGTCTTGCGGCACCCGGGTCTTGAACCGCTGAACTACTGACCTTCCAGAGCCTGCAGTTCAGCGTCTTAACCACTTGAGCCACCGCAGCTCCTCAACTTTCTGTACTCGACAGCAAAAAACAGTAGATTTAAAACAATTAAATTTCTGCAGAAGTCCCATTTCCCAGCCACAACACAGCCGAGTCATTTCTACATATATTTGGAATACATTAGAGTTAGTCTAACGGCATTCGTTCAGACTGCAGAACATCTGGGTGAGGGGCTTTAGAAGCAGAGCCTTCCCAGTTCCAAAGCTGGTGAGCAGGGCCAAAGAGAAGCCACCACTCTGGGGGGAGGGGAATCTCCCCCTTCGGAAGAGGCTCCTCTCTAATTATCTGCCTCCTGAAAGTCAGGTTTCCATCAGTCACTGCACAAACATTATGCTTGGCCTCCAAAATAGATCTCTGCACTTCCAGGGCACAGATTGAAGTTGCAAAGGTTGCTAAAACAAACGGACAAAGAAAACTTTCCGCTGGGGGAACTTGCTACATCCTGACCCTCTATCCCTTGCTTCTCAGAGCTGAATGGGCCTCTCTCTCTCTCTCTCCTGCACACAGTCCCACCCTCAGGCTCCCCCAGTCTGGCTGCTGCGTCTCCATTATCTCTCTTGCGCTCCTTCCTCACCGCCAGTTAGGCTGACCCAGCCATTGTTTCTGGTGGGTTTATCACTTTCCACCAGATATGACGGCATCTCCTCTTCCTGCAGGGTCCCCTACCACGTGTGGCCAGATTCCACACCTGTGGCAAAGAGGGACAAGACGGGCTCCTCCGGATTGCAAGAGAAGAAGACCCCCAAGCCCCGGGAGCCAGTGTTGCCCTCCAGGGGGAAGGGGGAATCGTTAGCCAGTGCACCGCTCCCAAAATCCCCACGGGAGAGGAGGGGCAAGGGAAACGTGTGTTTCCAAGTTTGGGCAAAAAGGTACAGGCCGTCCCAAAGCCAGCCAGCCCGTCCCAGAGAAGAATTACCACCCCGAATGTCAACAGAAACAGAAGAAGCATCACAACTGTTAAAAAGTAAGGCTGTCGCCAAAAGAAATCTCTGCTGCCTGGTTTTAGTTGACCAATCGAATCTGCATAAATTTGCATATGAGGAAAAACTAAAAGGCAGCCTTTGTTGTTCCATGATGTGTGCAACCTATTTTCAGCTGAGTCATCAAATGGATGAAAGGCTGCCAAAGGGGGCGGAATGGAATCAACAGAATTTCCATCACAGAAAAGAAATCAAACCGACGGAGCCAATCGAGAGAAGTTCTTTTTAAAAGAAGACAGGCACACCAGAGGAGAAGGGGCAAAAACTGCAGCTGATGAAAACAGATCGGCCAGGAGCCTCCCCGAAATAGAGTCAAGTGGCCAAAAATACCCCCGGGGCAGGCGGCAGCCGAGATGGCGAGAGGCTTGGGAACCCGCAAGCACGCCCCCAAGCCGGGAAGGGTGATGGGCAACAGTCCCTGCCGACCCCCACACTCCCCCTCCCCAACATGGCACACACACTTAAAGCCTCGGTGCCCTGGGCTGGCACAAGCTCAGAGGCAGAAGCACCCCTCGCAAAGGCCCGTTGCCTGTTCTCACATCCCTTGATTGCTGTCATGCCCGAAGCATGGACCCTGCAGCGGATTTTTCTCCCGTATTCCTGTCCCATCAGTTCTCTGGTCCAAGACAGTTCCCCACGATCACCATTGGAGCAGCCCCTAGCCAGCAGTAGCAAAAAAGGAAGATGCCCACACCCGGGGTTGAAACCTGCTCTTTAACAAAGGCGCAGCAGGGACCTAAATCTCTGTGGCTGATCCCAGAAAGCTTTCTGTAAGATGGCCGGTGCCTCCAGCACCGATGCTGTCTCGAAGACTCGGAAACCTTCTCCGGCCTGGTCCAGCAGCTCTGACCATGCAGCCGGGGGGGGGGGAGGATCTACACAAAGGAAAGGGCCTGGGCCCTAAACTAGCGAGCCTCCAGGTTTGCCTGCCCCTTTCTGCCGAGCTGTGAGGCCTCGACTGGAGGGCGGCTGGAGGCAGCTCCCTTTCCTGGTGGAGGCCCCGGCTGGAGGACAGGCCCGCTCCTTTCCTGTGGGGGCGCTGGCATTGTGGGGCGCCATCCCTGAGAACATGGAAGGGACCCCTGTGCAATCCGCCTCCCCGACGCAGTGTCCAGCTGTGCTTCTCAGGCGGGGCTTTGGCAGTTCACTCTGCCAAGAGGGCACTCTACCAAGAAAGCTCTTTCCCTCTATTCTTTGGTTTGAACTTTTTGCTGCCTGCAGGTCAGGTTGGACGGCTGTGGTCAGCAGGCATCTAAATATTTGAATTAAAAAACACACCAGTAAACATTCCTGTTGACTAATACTGAGGCCTCATCCTGTCCGACGTCCTGTATCTGCTCAGCACGCTCCCCCCTCCGCCCCCGCAGGGATGCATGCTCTCCTGGACCAAACGGGGACCGTGGCCTATCTCCACGGTTTGACCCGAGTGCGCAGCACAGAGCTCCGGCACCTGTCAGCCACCCCAGGCAGCTGAAGGGGGGGGGGGGTTAGCAGGCCTTCCAGGGCAAGAGCTGCTACTGAGAGCAGACTCGAGTTACCGGAAATGGCAGCACGTTGCTCTAACTGTCCGCCTGTCACCTCCTCTCTGGAATCTCAAGCCACTGCCCAAAGAACATCCTGTCCAAAAGCAGCCCCGCAAGACCTGTGAGCATAACTGCCTCGGCCACTTAACAACGGCAGTTCGTGGCAGGCAAGGTGCCCCCGGGGAGCTGCAGAGGGGACACAAACAAGACCCCCACAGCTGCGGGGCGGACTCAGCGTGGTTGGCCTAGAGCCCCATCAGACAGGGCACATCGCCAGCATGGCTTGGGACCGCTTGCCTGGGGGGGGGAGTTGGACATTTGCATAGCAGCCTCCCACCAAGGGCAGAGGTGCTGGGCAGCCCTTGATGGAACCTGGGGGGTCTCTGGGGGCAGGGAAGAAGGCGCTCAGTTTGGCCAGTGCAGGATTAGAAAGGCTCCCCAGCTCATTCTGAAGGAGGGGGTTGGGGGGGTAAATGAAGGGCATTCTTTTCATCAGAGGCAGAGTCCCCCCCCCCCCCAGCCAAACTCCTGCAGGAGCCAGCGCTGGCCCAGGGGCAACAAGGCCCAGTCGGTGGAAGGCTAGAGCAAAAACCCTCACCAAGGTGGCCTAGCGGCTGGACCCTCCTCCTTGAAACTCCTCCGGTCTTATTGTGCAAGACAGCGTTCCGCTCCTGCCAAGTACGACGAGGACACCCCCAACCACCCTTCTGGGCTTCCTCCAAAAGCTTGTGATGCTCCCGCTGGACCTTGCTCACATGGCCAACATGGCTGCTAATACAGTCCAGATGCGTTTCTCTTATTTTTGCCTCACAATGGAACTGAAACCGGGTGATTTCCTCTAAGCGGCAGAGCTTCCTTCCTTCTTCCCAGGGTCTGGCTTAGCTCTGGGTCCATAGTCTGAATGTCGCTGCATGCAGCTTGCAGCCTCCGTTCAGGAGACCACGATAGCTTTGCTGT